AGATGGTGTGGCAGAGTTTGGCATCATTTCTGATTTATTTCTGGAAATGTTGGGCATTTTTTCTGTTTTTATTTCTGTGCTCCTCTGCTCTTTGTATTAGGCCCTCATACATTTGTGGAAAGGCGTCACGCTTCGCATTGTGACGAACCCTTGGTTACCCGATGCTAGGGCCCTACCCCAGTATCAGCTCTGATTCATGCAGTGCAGCTACTATGATAACAGCAGGTGTTTTCAGGATGGCAGGTTGTTGTTTTCCCTTAATTTGAATACACACCCAAGGTTTTAATTGTGATTACTTTTGTGGGAGCTATGACATCGTTTTTTGCGGCAACTATAGGAAATTTACAATTTTTTTTTTCTCCTTAACCAACTGATTGTTCTCCTTCTTCTTAGTCTCCCTTAATCTTCTGCAAGACTTGAGTAGCACAAGTGCCGTGTATGAACTTCCGCTTTTTTACGCAGAGACTGTGCCCAAAGCATGGTGGACAAAATGGCCATTGGTTTCAAAAGTATCCACAGGGCCTGCGAAAGCATCGGAGCCAGAAAACCGGATCCCGGAATGGTACCACGGGTTTAAGTGAATGTTCTTTTCCTTATAATCTCTGTGGGTTGTGTTGTTTTTGTCACTCAGGCCATTCGGATATGGGACCCACGGACCGGTGCAAAGCAGATGAAACTTAAAGGGCATTCCGACAATATCCGATGCTTGCTCTTGGATCCCGCAGGCAGGTATGCCTTTCCATACTTCGCTGTGGTTTCATTTTTATCGACTTATTGCTCGCTTCTCTTGTGAGACTAGCTGACCAACCCAGCTGTCTGTCTTTCCATCGTTGGCTATCACTTTGAGCACCCTTGGAGAGAGCAGTAGTAGTAGATGTTACCCGGCGAAAGGAGGTATGGATGTTATCTGCGGGTTGTTTCGCGTATGAGAACGAGAAGTGGATCATTGGTTGGCTTCTTTAAAACCTGTGAATGTTTTTTTTTTTTTTTTGGTCCTGGCTCCWTKTCCATTCTGGGGAGCATCAGTTCGGTTCCTTTTCAACTGGCAAGTCATGAAGTACATCAAGTAACACACACACACACTTCCTTCCGTTTGGCCGAAGGATCCCTGAGCAGCATTGATTGCTCCATCTTCATGGAAGATTGGCCGTCATCAGCGTGCCACTATTCTCTAAGTCCTCTCCGCTGGGATATGCGAACGGTTGTTCTTGTTGTGTTGTGTTCGTCTTTTGTTTTCGAGTATCAGTTGAATCTTTGCCAGAAAGAGCAGAACAAGCAGGAGATGTTGTACAATTTAGCACATCTTCTTTATATGAGAAACGAATCTGGAACGATACGGAGAACATGAGTATGGCCCCTCCGGAAGGATGACACACATACATCGATAAATGGTCCAATTTATTTAGAAAAAGAAAAGATTAAGGAAAAAAAGGAGAAATGAAGTAAGTGGAGCAGTGGCTGGCTCCTTCAATAGAACGTAGGGAATCCATTCTGTTGCCTACCTTCTTCACCGGAATACAACGTACGCCGTACGGTCATTATAGCTGTATTTAGACTGAAACATGCCACAAATACAGCTATAATAACCGTACGACATTTTCTTCAGGGGAAGAAGGTAGCCAGGGAAGTAGCATGTGCAGCCTTGGTGCTGGGTAATTTCAGAATGTTGTTGTGCTCTCCAGTGCCCACCCGCGTAAGCTGTGATGGGCTTGTTGTGATTAGGAGAGCCTTGGTGTGGATTTTGTCAGAACCTTCTCCTGCTCTCCAGTGGGCAACCTGGTAAGGGGTCATAGGCTTATCGCACTTAGTGTCCCCCCCCACCCCCCCTCCCTCTCTCTGGAGGATGTTGGTTTTTACCTTTCCAAGGCTCTCTGCTGCTTTTGACCTTGAGAGGCATCTGCACACAAGTACATGTGGGACCATAAGGTTATCTTGCCTACTGTTAATCACCTAGTTGATCATTGGATTCATTCAGCCCCCTCCAGTGCTGTGTCCCAAAGGCAGCTTGTCATTTTTCCAAGTTTGTGAAACTTCGGGACTCGAAAGGGTTGGTCCAGTTGACCCATCAGGTCATTAGTCCTTTAAACCACCAGTCTTGGCCCAGCTATCGGCCGCGGGAAAAAATAGAGTAGAAACGTTTCTAGTCGGATGAATTTGAGCGCTCCTGTAGTAGCCAGTACGTTTCCTAAAATCGCGGCGCATTAACGGGCACGACTCTAGGAAGTACTGGTGGTTTAACCACTGTCCTCAGTGTGTGTTCTTCTGCTGAACAACAAGCTGTGGCATGTATCTCTATGGAACCTGGGAGTGCTTGTCTATGAGTCACTGTACCCAGGTCTGGGCGTATTGGTGCCGCGTCATCTGAAAGTGTGAGCAAGCTGGGAGTGTGATGGTGTGCCCTGAGAAGTGGGAAAAGGTTTAGGGTTTGGACTCAAGTCAATGGCGATGTTGATCAGTGACCGCTGCTTGAAAGGTAACAGCAGTAGCAGTGGTATAGTGCTAATTATAGCACGAAAAGAAGATTTATGTTCAAATGCTAATGACTGTGGCAAGCATTGCCTGGCAATTGTGAGCGGGGCATGTTCGACGGCCTGCAGTTGTGGGTTGACCAGCCACCAGCCAAAAGACCTCCTTGAGTACACTGTTGCACCGGACTTGCTCAGGGCAGGCCAGAATCTGTTCCGTTGCACCTGGAATCCAAACGGCTGAACCTGACCCTGATGGTATGTGGACTAAAAGAAAATGTATCAAGCCTTGATAACAGATGCACCCTCCGTAAGAACTGAGAATAGCACACAAGTGTGCTACCGTCTTCGCCCGAATAGAACGCCTCGTCATCATGGCTGCATCTGGACTGAAAGGTGTCCCAAATATGGCTGTAATGACCAGGCGTTCTATTCGGGTGAAGACGGTAGTGCCTGTGGTGTGGACTGCACAAACGTGGGTGAGCTTACACTTGTTGTAAAGGTTCGGGGTATGAGAAACATATGACAGGGGAGTGAATCTGTTGTCTACCGGACTTGGTCAAAGGGGGCTTTTTTATGTGGTGTTATTTGACAGCACATCATCGCACATAAAAAACACACTCTCATGAATTTGGACACCATGCGGTGACCAGATGCTAGGTGAGGTCATAGGCGCAATACCCATGACCTGCCAGAATAGGGGTGCCCTGAGGGCATGAAAAGCTGAGCGCTCTTCTTCTCCAAACTCGAAAGGCCATTATTGTGCTGAAGCCGCCGCCTCAAGGGGCCAGTGATCTTGATGTAGTTGAAAGCTCCGGTGGGGGGTCCAGGGGCCCCGTTCTCCTGCTCCTTAAAAGAGTCCCACATAATGTTGTCGGCCTCTACACTCTTTTCCAACATATGAGCTACCCCTCTCTCCCTTCCTTCACTCACTTTTTTTTTGGGTCTTAGAACAACAGGTGTTATCAACTATGCTCTCCCCCGTACAACAAAGGTCAGCAAAAACCGGTCATGCAAAGAAGTGGAGAGACAAAAGGAATGTCCTTCAAGGCTTCAAGGCATCCGTTAAAGTTGGAACGGTACAGAGAATATCAGCATGGCCCCTGCGCAAGGATGACACACATAAGTCGGGAAATGGTAAAAACTCAAAAAAAAAGAAAAAAGAAAAAAAAAGGAGGGACAAAAGCAACCTTTTAGGCAAAACGGCGTGTGCACTAAACCCAAAATGAACCAAAATCAAATCTACACGACTGCCCACCTATGCAGAATGGTAGCTCTGTTAAAAAAAAAAAAAAGAAGAAGAGAATTCGTAAGGTCGTATTACTACCGTCAGCTCACAGCAGGCAATCAGAAGACTGGAGCTGGGGAAGTCATTAAGTAGGTACAGGACTGCGCAAAGGGACGACCATCTATCGATGTTCCTACAAAAGGTGGTCTTGGATTCCCCTCTCAAGAAACCACGTGGCTGACTCATCTAGACTTTTCTTCACCCCTTTGTGCATCAAGTATTCACCAGTTCGAGTAAACGACTAAAGCCCCTTTCCTCTTAGTCATCGTCCTTCCCCTCAAGAGACGATTGACACATGGCAGAAGTTGGAAAAGCTTATACAGCCCCCAGTGGCTGTGGACCGGCTGAAGATTACTGGCAAGATGCCAGGCCTCGAGAAAGCTTAGCCTCGACTCTGCCAGATTACTTTTCTGACCCTCGGGAGGTATAGCCGTACCTGAAGTTCGCCCTACCTAGACTCACCAAAATAACACGTCCATCAAAGAGAACTCGAAGTCCGACCGGCATCCAATTTCAGTCGTCCCCCTGTTGTTCTACCCATTTCTTATCTAGCCCGCCAGGTAGACAGCAAGCACAGCACAAGAACAGAGTTAGCTCACTGCATAGCAGCATAGAGACTTAGACATACAAACAACAATCACACTCTACACACAGAAATCTCGCAAATCAAGCCAACGAGCACTGATACTCGGAAAACTGCAAAAATCTCAGACTGGTTCACTGCGGGTCATTTTGTGGTAGTTCATAACAATATTTGACAAAGAATCTAGAAAAGCATCCGGACCGCAGTGCAGGCGGTCTGGGCCTGGATGTCTGGGTCTGGTGTCTGGTCCGGAGTGTCCAGACCCATCCCCCCACCCCCACCCTAAAAGAAAATCCGACTTTTAAAAAAATCAAAAAAATCTGAAAAACTTCAAAAAAGGACATGGTATGCAGCATTGCAATACAAAAATTCGTTTGGCTGAGGACCATCACAAAATTCGTAGCCAAATCCAAGGAAAAACATATCTTTTTTTGTTTTGGTTGGAACAAGGGTTTAAACTTTAAATAGCCTTTTATGAAGTTTTATCTGATCCAGACGGTCTGGAGCAGTCCGGACACAGGTCTGGCCGGACGTCTGGACTGGTCCAGTGTCCGGGTCCGGCGTAATCATGGTGCTGATCTTTCAGGAAAAGTTAATTTCGAGAAGTCACAGAAGGATTTCTGGGATTGTAAAAGAAATCCCGGTGGTTTAGACATGCATTCTTTTGCTGCTATTGTGACGTGGTAGGCCCCAAACTTGATGGTTCTGTGCTCCACAGTCGGCAAAACCAATAGGTACATTGAAATAGCCTGGGCAACCCGTCTGCGCTGGTGTTCTTTTTTTTTTTTTTTTTTATAAATATGGACCATTTCTCGATTTATGCGTGTCATCCTTGAAAGCGCAGGGGCCGTGCTAATCTTCTGAGTCTTTCTCTGTATCGTTCCAATTTTAACGGATGTCCCGAAGGACATCTGCGCTGGTGTTCTACATAGAGATGTTTCCTGAAAATATATCGAAATTTGATATTGTGCACCTGGATTACTAGCCTGTCCGGAAGGCTGTTCGGTTGGGACACCTGGATCTGGATCCGGACGACTCAGAGCCTGCAGAAGTTCGGGCCGGATAGCATAGCATGGGTAGAGGCTGTATCTCGACAGTGTGGAACATTCATGGAAGATTCATGGCAGACTCATGGAATATGCAGGATTCTCGGTTCTTCTTGTCTTTTCAATACAGTTGTTCACCTGGCGGTAACTCAGAGCTCTGAGAAGGAGTTTATTGGCTTTTGCATGTGTGTTGAAAAAGAAAAAGAAAAAGAAATAATAGAGCTGGGTGGTGCTGCAATCAAGGCCAAGAGACTTGTCATTTCGGCCCCGTTCAGTTTGTCATTTCAAGCGTTTTCGTTGAAATGCGATGGACTGGTCGAAGATCAGGTAGTCTGCATGCAACAGAGTCGGTGATGCAGCTCAGTCTGCATCGGTTGTGGGTAGTATTGTCTGGCAATAGTTCATGTCCAATGATTGATAAGTTGCCTTGTCCAGCAGTTGCTCTCAGTCGTGGTGTCGGTCGAATAACCTTTGCGAGCTAGCATCGATGATGGCGTGCATTACGGACAGGCTTGGGCCTCGTTTTGTCAAATTGTTGTTGTTTGCATGTTCTATTTTTTGAACTTTGGCAGGTGCTTTCGGATGTTGATTGTTATGGTGGCATACTCTTTGTGCTGTCTTCACTCGCTGGCGACAGGTTTTGCTTATCTGGTTCTTCGGATCACATTATTAGGTGAGTGTGTGATTCTCTTCCTAAACCTGTTAAATTTCAGACTCTTTGTTATCCTCTCATGTGAATGTGCAGCCACTGTAGTGTATATAGACATACCATGTATGCCCTGCGTTGCGTTGCAATGCTGCATTTGTCCTCTTATTCGGAATGCGGAGTCTGCTTTCATGCATGGACATATCTGCTCTTGTCTATATACACACACTTTGCTCTGCTCACATTGCATTGCAATTCATTTGTCCTGTCATATGAACGATTGCAATTCATTTGTCCTGTAGAGTACATGTATGCAATGAAACACACTTTGTGCTGGTTATATGAGTACTCTTAAAAACGATGAATGTGTGTGTTCTTGTATGTTTGAGTCGGCTGGCCCTCCTTTGGAGTGGATGAAAGCTGCATTGTTATATGAGTACTCTAAAAGCAATGAATGCGTGTGTTGTCTCATGTTTGAGTCGGCTGGCCCTTCCTTTGGAGTGGATGAAGGATGCATTGTTATATGAATACTCTAAAAACGATGAATGTGTGTGTTCTCTTATGTTTGAGTCGGCTGGCCCTCCTTTGGAGTGGATGAAGGCTGCATGCATGGCACAGGTTCCGCTCTCTGCATGTGGTTTAGATCTCTCAGTGTAAGCTGCGAACACTGTGTTTGTTAAACTTTGTTTGTTGTTAGAAATTTATCGGAGGGATAACCCCCCCACTCAGCGTAGGAGGGCAGTTGAATTATGGACAGTGTCGCTACTTCTTAAACCATCGGTACCTTTCCCAGCTATTTTGCCATGATGCGCCGGGTTACTCGGGAATCCGGCGGGGTTCGCCAGTTCGGTGATAGCGGACCAAAATGGCTGGCAGCGCCAACCAAAATGAGGTCTGCGCCAGTTCATTTTTTTCCCTGCTTTCGGCGTGCATGGCGATTTTAGGTTCGGGATCGATAGCTGAGAAAGGTGTTGGTGGGATTAAACCACCGGTACGCATAGCAACACGTCCTGGTTATGAGTTGGGCCGTGCCTGTTCTTTTAAGTTGGTTTGTTAGATTTTCGATCTTATGACCACTCTGTTGTTCCTTTTGCTTGCCGGCAGTGGTTGGCCTTGTTCCCCGAAGCGCCCGAAGCGGGGTGGTGGTTGCTTAAACCACCCCACTCCAACCGAACCTATTTTGTCAAACAAAAAGTTGCACTATACCGAGCCTGACATCTACAGTGAACACAAATGGAAGTGGGTGGGAGGCGGTACCGGTACCACCTATGTGTGTCACGGCCTTGAGGAGGTATCATCATTGATGTGAGTGGCCCGTAGGTAATTTAGAATCATGCATGGGCTGAATCATTAAACTTGAATAGTTTTTAACTTTTTATTCAATTTTCTTTTTTCTTTTCTTTTCTTTGCTCAGGGCCACACCCTCGAAGTATCATCATTGAGCTAAACGGCCGTAGGTAATTCCGAAGCATGTGCCTTGCTCCACTATGAAATGTGCAAAATGAGAATGAATCTTATGCTAGAACGTGGGAAGGTACGTCACCATATCTTTCTGTCTTTTGCACATGGCGAGGAGTGGAGCGAGGCCCTATTTTGATGGCATCTAGGTTCAAACTTAAATCTGTGTGGGCCTCGCTCCAACACTCGCCACATGCACAAAAGACAAAAAAAAAGATGGCGTTGTATCTGCCCATGTTCTAGCAGAAGATTCATTCTCATTTTTTGCACGTTTCGCAAGTAGCAGAGCGAAGCCCTACTTCAACAGTTTATGGGCGTACCAACTGAAAAGCCTGTCACATAGTCCGCCGTGCTAAGCTGGGAGAGGGCGGTGACTTCTGTTTCTGTTTTCGTTTTTTTTTTTGTTTTGTTTTGTTTTTACAAAGACACTGGCCTCGGCATAACACCATGGAGCTGAACGGCCCTATTCTTTTTCATGGTGACTGGAATCGAACTTGTGTCCGTATTTCAACTGTTTCCATGGGTGTACCAACTGAGGTCTGTCGTTTCTTTTTTGTTTTTTCTTTAGGGTAGTTTCGAAAGCACAGCAGTCGGCCCTCGTGAGCTGAGCTGGCAAGGCGGATTTCAGGGGACGACATAAAACGAGACGAACTGCACAGGCCTCACTCCCCTACACTACTCTCTAAATGCGTCTGGAGTCTGGACGATTTCTGGACAAGGTACATTCCCACAAGTCCAATATTTTGGGCCCACAGAATCCAGAAGTATGCAGAGTGTTGTGTAGTGGAGCACGGTCCTATGTAACGCCAAAGTCACACACTGCCGCTCTCTCTGTGCTGTGGGCCCACCAGCCCCACCCCCTCCGAACCTCTCCCATGCCTGATTACTGTGGAATTTGTGTCGGCATTTGGGATGAGAAAAATCTACAGTGCAGGCAGGGCGTGGAGTGGTGGTTTAAGAACTGGCAAAACACACGACATAACTGTCTCTTAACTTGTCTGCAGGGGTTGGCCTTGTTTTTCAAAAGGGTTGTGGTTTGCTTGAACCACCACTACCTTTCCCAAGCAACACTGCGAATCGAAAATATAACATTCTGGGTTCTTCAGCAGTCCAGGCCTACCAGACCCCGATGGCTTGCAGCACCATTTCTAAAAGAAACAGAAAACACTGCGCTTGCAGCACTATTTCTAAAAGAAACAAAAAACACTGCCCTGGCAATTTGGCGAAGATTGGCGTGCCGGAAGAATCCACCTCAGCGAGAAGGGGCTTTTGGAGGTAGTGGTGGCTTAAGAACTGGCAAAACACATGGCATGACTGCAAGCAACAGGATGTGGTATCGTTTCCTCTTACTCCCGTGAGAGGTGCATGCGAATCAGCGAAGGACTGCACTTAGATCTCACTGAATGGCGGAAGCTGATCCATTCTTGCGACCGTGAAGGAGGGTGGATAGGATGGTGAGGTGAGGTTTTCCACATAGCCTTGTCCTTTCTTTTCCCTTCTTTTTTCAGACGAGGGTATACCGTATAGCGGCTCGTGTTGCTTTGTCCAGTACTAGTAGTTGTAATGGGGACTGACACAAGAAAAATATAATGATAATGAATGCGTCGGTGCAGACAATCAGCAGGGAAGGAAGTCGTACATGTCTTGATACATGCACTGCGCCCCTCAACGACTGCACGCCAGATATCCCTGCTTGGGATGATGATGATATAGTCTGAACTTCGTGGCAACACGAAGGATGAAGGGCTCGGTTGAAATGATGTTTAAGTTTCAGTTTATAGTTACAAGTGTGTATCTGTCTGCCACCTTTCCTGGTTAACTGTTGATTTCGGGAACTTTTGTTGATTTGATTCCATATTTGACTGTTTGTCCTGATGGAGCAGGTTATGGGATCTCGGGCAGCAGAGGTGTGTTCACGCTTATGCAACACACATGGATTCTGTTTGGACGCTAGCGAGCACACCTTCGTTTAATGCCGTGTACAGTGGTGGTCGAGACAAATGTGTAAGTATGAGATGTACTTCATCCTGAAACAAGAACCCCTGGTCATGAAGTCTGTTTTTCCGTCTGACGTTTAAGGTGTACAGCAGGGTTGCATACCTGCCGACAGCCGACCCCGACGCTGACTATTTTGCAGCCGACCAGTTGGGCCGACGGTCGGCGGTGTGCCGACCAGTCGGGCCGACGGTTGGTGGTCTGCTGACCAGTCAGAAAACAGCCATGCACTGATTCTTTTTCAAATCTGAGTTGGGGGCTGTACTGCGCTTGCTGAGTACAGCTCAAATCCACTAAGAAACT